CCTCTTGCCTTGCTGATGTTACTTTCTTCCTGGAGTGTGCATGACAGAAGATAACACCTCTCCCCAGCCCTAGCACGTCTCTGTTCACTGAAAGCCCTTCTAAGGGAGACAAGAGTCTGGTGCGTTTTATGAAGAGCACCTGGTGTGAGTGGGGGTTAGGGACTTAGATCACTCCATGGAAGAGAAGAAAGCTAATGGCCTTTGGAACGGGGGCCAGGACGGAAGAGTGGGGTGTTGGGTGGGAGGGACCAGTTAGAGCATCAAATCATTAATTCCATGTTTCAATGACTAGAATAGAAATTCATGATGCCAAGCCCACTGTTCTGAAGGGTTAGAAGGGTTTGGCTCAATTATTCTGGGAATATTCTATTTCTCTTTGTCTGTGTTGACAGATACAGAGGTAGCAAATCCAGAAACGTGACTGGAGGAAAATTCACTCGTGGTTTTACAATTCCTGATAAAACAATTTCTCTGACTTGTTTGGACGTGAATGCTCTCTCCTACTTAGCCTTCTTTCCAGTACAAACGTTGAATCAGTTCACGGTTAAGTCTCTGACTTGTACTAAAAAATTCTTAGGGGATGGAGCCTTATTTATTATTTCTGCTTTCTTTTTTTTTTTTTCTTTTTCTTTTTTTCATTTCTTATTTAGCTAAGCACTCCAACAAATAAGAAAAACATAAATAAACATGTTTAACAAAAAAAATTTACATACCTTGTTTTCTTCCACTGGAGCAGAATTGGCAATGTGTTCCCTTGGTAAGAGACTGTGGCTGAAGAGTTAAGTAACTTTTAACTTTTGAAACTTTAAAAACTCTTAGCTCCTCCCTCTTTCTTAACCCCACCCTTTGATTCTCTTTCACAAGCCTATAAATGCTTTCAGGCTTAGCTTGGCTAAAAGCTTAAAAAAAAAAAAAAAGTCACAGAGATAGACAGTTGAGGTTTTGCCTGAATTACTTAACTACCCACATCTTCCATGTCTATCTGCATGCAGAGACCTGAATTCTGACAAACCATAACTCACACGTGCCTTGCTTAACCCCTTTTCTAGTCTGCCAACTGACGACAGTTAGCATAGTTTTTTCTGGTACTTTTTTTTTTTTTTTAAACGAAAACAGAAAGCATCAAATTAGTGAAATAATAATGGGTAGTAAAATGGAGACTATTGTTGCTGAGTGATTTACTTGTTAAACTTGCTCTTACAGTACTATGAGAGAGGCACCCAGAAAATCCATCTGCTCTGATTTGGAGTGTTGGTGTGGAACCCAGAGCATAACTCCCATGAGTGGGATGTCAGTTCTCTTCACCAGCAGGGACAAAGGGTTTGGCTCAATGTTTTAGACACAATTACGTGGTGGAATGCTGTTTTTTATCATTTTCTGTTTCTCTTTTGTTTTTCCCTATTAATGTTTCTTTATGCCTCCTTATTTGTTGCACATAGAAACAACAGGTTAATTGTTCCATTTGTATGTGCATGGAGGAACATGGTGAGGGCAGAGGGATGAGGACGGAAGGGAAAATCCAGAAGGAATTAGAAGAAAGGAGGAGCCTCGCTATTTATAACATATTTGGTGTATTTTTCTTCGTGCAGTTTCCATTTTTTTTTCTCTTATCAGGGGCACACATTATCTTCTGGCAAGCTGGCTCAGAGTTGAATATGTGAATGTTGGTTTGGTACCCACAGCAGAGTGTTACCCTGGATTTCACTAGGAAATGAGACCTGTGGTGTGAAATTGCCTGATGCCTGTTGACTTGCACTGAGCAGATATTATTACCCGTGGATGCTCCCAGGACTGTTATTAGCTGAAAGTGTCCTATGAGGGCTCTAGATGGAGGGACTGCTTACCTTAACTGACAGCAGTTCACCAGAGAGTGACTTGGGCTACATGGCTGCACAGCATGAAGACTTTGCTCTTGGTGTTTCTGCTACATTAAATGTATCTGTGTAGATTCTGCTTTCTCAGCCCAGAAATCGTTTCATCTTCTTTAAAGTCACAGACTAAGTCTCAGTCATTTTTCCCTCCAAACCTTCTCTAGATTCCTTTCCCACTTACTTCTTCATTAAAGCCCCTGTGTATAAATATTCTGCCTACATCAATAAAATGATGGCTGTGCATTATTTTGCTGCCTGTCGAGAAGCTGGAAAAGAGATAGAGGTAATTATATCCAAAATTAACAATGCAGTATTAGTAGCATAATTTGTTTGTTGTTATTATTTATAACTGCCCTGGGTATACATAGCGATATGTACATATATTACTAGTAAGGATGGAGGAACAGGAACTAAACAAATGAGGAAAAGAAGTGAAAGGAAGAATTTTTGCTCTAGTTTTTTTATTACACTTAATGTTTGGACCATAGGAGTTTATTAGGTTTCTAAAAATTTTAGAAAAAGAGAAAAGAGCCCCAGGCACATCAATATTATTCTAGTAGGAATCCAGAAGAAGAGAACATATGGAATGTAGCAGAGGCAATTAAGGCAATAACAGCTGTCTTAGTTCAGGCTGCTATAACAAAATACCATAGACTGAGTGGCTTAAACAGCAAACCTTTACTTCTCACAGTTTTGGAGACTGGAAGTCTGAGACCAGGGTGCCAGTGTGGTTAGGTTCTAGTGAGGTCCCTCGTGCTGGTTCACAGACGGCTGCCTTCTTGTTGTATCTGCACAAGGCAGAGAGAAAAAGCTCTGGTGTCCTCAGCTCCTTATAAGGGTGCTAATCACATTATGGGGATTCTACTCTCATGACCTAATCTAACACTAATTACCTCCCAAAGGCCCAGCTCTAAACACTATAACATTGGGGATTAGAGTTTCAACATATGAATTTTGGGTGGATACAAACATTGAGTCCATAGTAATGTCTGAAGGTTTCCCAGAACTGAAGCAAGGTGTAAGTTTCCAGATGAAAGAATCTGCTAATGAACAGGATACATTTTTTAAAACACAATTTTAAAAATCCCCTTCATGCAATGAAATATCAAAGAACATCAAGAACAAAAAAAAATTATTATAACTTCAAGGAGTGAGAATTTTCTTGAAATCAACTTTCCTATCAAAAGCTTTGGATGCCAAATGATAATAAAATTGTATCCTCAAAGTGCTGAAGAGTGCTTTAAACCTAGAATTCTACTCATGTACTTTAACTCAATAATGAAGGTGAAGTATGTATATTTTAAGGTACAATGATTCATAAAGTTACCACCTACCACCTTTTGGAGTAGAAAATGAATCTTAAAGTAAGTAGGAAAATGCGAGAAGCATGAACCCCTATTTTCAACAATGTCAGATTAGAGGAAATACTCATACACTATGATTCAAGCCTTGAAAACTGAACTGAATAACTTTCTGGGATTCTATGCATATGTTTGACTAGCTGACAGTGAGATGGTTTTATTACTTACACAGATAATAATGATCATAATCACTAGTATTTATTAAATGTTATATATGCCAGTCTTGTAGATTGCTTGATGTATATGAACTCATTTAATCATCATAGCAACATTATGATAAAAGCAGTATTTTCTCTAGCTAAAAAAAAAAAAAAAAAAAAAAAAAAAACAAGTAAAAGGAAGCACCGTATTTGGCCTGTGATTATACCCCTTGAAAGAGAACTGGGATTTGGATACACATGGTCAAGGTCCTAAGGTATCTTTTTTAACCCCCACACTGTAGTGAATCAGCCTTTCCTGCCTTTCATCAAAGACAGTGCAGTGTCTGGGATACGTTTCCAGGATCCAGCCACACTTCTGCAGTCAGACTCTGCTGCCAGTTCAGACCCCCAAACCTATGACTTGCCTTAGTTCTCAGATCCTAACTTGTATTCTTCTCTGCCTCTGTCCCACTCAAAAGCATTCAGTGCTGTTTGAAACAAACACCCTAAAAAGGAGCCACCTTATGTTTCCCCTCCTGCCCCTGTATCCAGCCCATCTCCACTGCTCTGAACTCT